TCGCTCATGAACCAGGGCATTAATGGCGGAAGGAAGATGTGTTGTATTATTTAACTGAACCACCTGTCCTAACTAAGTAACAGAAACTGACATATAACAACTTTTTTTTTTTTAAGTGAAGAGAGTTTAAGAGAAGCGGTGACTGTAATCCTGTGTTTAAGACTGAAACATCTTATAGTTTAAGTAAATAAGTTGACTTCTACCCGGGAGAACACATTTCCTGACCCACATTCTTTCAAAAGCTTCTTTTTATTAATAAAACTGTTTTTTGTTCAATATTCACTCACTACAAGATAAACACTGGTAAATTGTATAGATTTTTGTAGTTTGCATACAGTGAGATGTGTGCACTTTATTTAATGGGGGCATAACCGCAGTTTTGAAAATCCTCCATACAATTCCAGTTTCAGTTGCCTCAAATGAAAGGAGCTTTAGCAAACTAAAACTGGTATCTCTGTGGTGGGATTTAATCCAGTAGAATCTGGTCAGGTGTCTGGGTGGCTGTGAGACCTGCAAGGCCCCTGGGGAGAGAGGGTGTTTGCTAGACCAGATGCTGTAGCCTTTTTTCCCTTGGGGGAAAAGTCTCTCAATAAACTGGGTCCCTTCCGGACGTTGAATTTTCCTATCTCTTGACTGTGTTTTTCTTTGAGGTGTTATTCCTTCCCCTGGCCATGAACCACTGAGCGGTGGTTTGGAAGGAAATTCTTACCCCATATTGTAAAGCCTGTAATAAACTATTTCAAAATGAACAAGGGAGTATCAGATTTCCCTCACTTCCTTTCCATCCCGGGAAAGGCCTTGTCTGAAGTTGTTCCTGGTTCCTGGAATCCCCTTTCACAAGGAGCCCAAAACTCTTCCTCTCACAGGCAAACTCCTGCTTATCCAACCTCTGCTCTTAGAACTGCCATATCGTGAAACCAAAGGTGATGTAGATACATGGAGATTCCAGGTTCCTGAAGTTTTCCTTACAAAGTATTGACCTTTAGGAGGTCTGGTGGTTGTGATCAGGGTCAGAAATTTCCTACAGCTGACCTGTACTGGTTGTTCTCAGGCAGAAGTGTGATGGACGACCAGAGTCTGGTCATTCAGTCCCCCAGAAATTCCACCAGAGGGATGGAACCTCTCTCTGATTGGCCAACAGCACTTTTGGAGGGAAAATAAAAGGAGCCATTTCTGAGGGAGAGAGTTAGATAGTGTTTGATATGAGAGAAGATGAAGAGGGATTGTTCTGAGGTGGGAGTTGGGGAGGAGGATAGGATTTGCCTGAGGGAGAACTGGTTCTGGTTTGAGTTGAACACCCTCCCTGAGAGAGGAAAGACTCTCCCAGCCTGGAGAGGGAGACCCGGTTGGGGGTCTGGGGGAGGTGGACAAACAGAGGTGTCCTGGGAGAAGCAGATCCTGGGGGGATTCAGACTCCCCTGGGTCTTCTTCCAGTCAGGAGGGGGCAGTTCTTTTAGGGAGAGAAGACCCCCAAGCCAGTCACAAGGGGGGAGGGGGAACCCTGGGTCTGTTACGCCATTTTGGAATTACCTCAGCAGTGGGGTTGCTTAGAGAGGGGGAGCTGGGGGAAAGTGCCCCTCGCTCATGAACCAGGGTATTGATCGGGGAAGGAAGCTGTGCTGTATTTAACTGAACCACCTGTCATAACTAAGTAACAGAAAGTGAAGTATAACAACTTTTTTTTTTTAGTGAAGAGAGCTTAAGAAAAGCTTTGACTGTAATCCTGTGTTTAAGCCTGAGACATCTTAAAGTTTAAGTATATAAGTTGACTTCTACCCAGGCAAACACATTTCCTGACCCACTTTCTTTCAAAAGCTTTTTATTGATAAAACTCTCCTTGTTGTTTGTTCAGCTTCTGCCCGAGATGATATTCACTCACTACAAGATAAACTGTGGTAAATTGTATGGATTTTTGTAGTTTGCATACAGTGAGATGTGCACACTGTATTTTCATTTAATAGGGGGCAGTAAGTGGGTGAGTCCCCCACATTATTGACTGGTGGTTAATCATAGAACTGCAGAGTTGGAATTGACCCCCCGAAGGTCATCAAGTCCAACCCCCTGCAATGCAGGAATATTTTGCCCAATAATAATGATAATAATAAACTCCCCCCGAACATAAGTTTTATTTATTTATTATAATAATAAACGTCTTTTTTTGGAACTTCGTTTCATTTATTTATTAAAGTTCTTATGTTACATTATCATAATACATCACAAGACTTATACTGTAATTTTCAGCGTGTATACAAATTTTATATACTTAAAGAGGGGGAACACAAGGACAAAAAACAATTCCAAAATCATACACACACACACACACACACACACCAACACTTTGAACGTCCTGTCTATTCTGCTGTATATTCCTTTTTTACAAATGAATGTACACTTATTATTTTATATTTCCTTACATTTTATCTAATACATTGCAATTTCAATATGTACCCTTGGGCCTATTTCTCAACTTAGTCTCTCTCCAATGTCAATCGAATGCTGAATTTTGGACATTAACATATGTGAGAACCCACAGTTCAGGTCACACAAGGAGCTCCGTTTTTAAATGTTTTCTGGTGATACTTATTCAATCTGTCCTCCACCCCCCAGAACCATAAAACTGTGGAGCTTGAAGGGACCCCCAGGGTCATCTAGTCCAACCCCTCTGCAATGCAGGGGTCACAAAGAAAGCATCTGCCAAATACAAGGGCCCACCCTCTTTCCCCACTTGGAGTCCTCCCCCCTTCTCAAGAGACACCCATTTCCGAGCCCCCCAAAGAGCTCTCTCTCCCCCCCCCCGGGTTCATGGGGGTTGGGCAGGGGGTTGCAAGGACCTCAAAGGCCTTGGGTCCCATGGTTTCCTTCCACCCACCCAGGGGATCCTCCCATTCATCTCTCAGCCCCCCAACAGCCTTTTCTGCACCCCAGCCGCCCCAGAGGCTCCCCTTCACCCAAAGGACTTCCCACCCCAGAGGCCTCCCAAAACAAGCGGAAAGAGAAGTGGGGTGATGGAGAGAGGGGCCTTTTCTCTCTCTCTCCCCTTAACCCTTATGTGGCCTCGCCGCTCGGGGATTTCTGCCCAGGGAGAAAGTGGGCAAGGCACCGGGAGGGATCCGGGTCCCGCCATGGGATCCCACCAGATTCCAGACGTGGCAAAGCTCAGCTAGGCTCTGTAGCAGGAACCCCCACCCCCACCCCAATCATTCTGCTTGTACAAACTTCACTCACACACTCCATACGCCACATTTCTGTTATAAATTCATAGAAAATCAACCATACATCGGATTTGCACTGTTCCATTTTTATTTTACTCCATATGGCAAGAACTAACAAAGGGGGGTGGCTTAGTCCTGGTCAGCCATAATCCCTTCACCATCTCAGCACATCTCAGCACATCTGCAGGAGCCCTGCCCAGATGATCCCAGACAGAAGGCAATCAAGATCACAAAGAACTTGCATATGGGAGTGGATTCAGCATGGACTGAAACAAAGGACAATGATCAGATCTTCCCTCAGGGGGCAGGAAACTGCAAACTCCCCTTTGTCTCCTGGAAGTGACTCAAGGGGTAGGGGGGAAAGGAGGAACCAGCCAGGTGACAAGATACTCAGGTTACCACCAACTGCTCCCTCAACCCCTCCTTTCTGTAATATATGCATGATGTTTCTGGGGGTGGGCTTGACCTAGAGGAGGGGAATTTCAAAAGTTTTTATAAGACCTGGCACACTATCTTTCTGGGTCTTTCCTCTCTCCTGCAAGTGAGGGGAACACCCTGATGCATCAGTTCAATAAAGGCCAAGCCTACAGGCTGCTGTTTTGCTCCAAGTTATCCTGGTTAGTGTCTTTGTTTTGTCCAAGGAAGCCCTCGGATTTTTTCCGGTAACAGCTCCCACGCTGGGAAAGGTGCATCCAGAGGGGCCAACTCCTAGGGGGCCCAGGTCCCTTAAGGGGGCAGAGGTAGGAGAGCTCAGTGGGCACAGCATGAGGCCCCTCCTTTCAGGGTTGCGGGATCGTGATCCACGTGGGGCAAAAGAGCCCTGCATTCTTGACTGGTGGTTCCTTTAGTGGCAAACTAAAAGTGAAAACGGTGTGGTGGGAGTTCATACAGTATTCTCTGAGCATGTGCAGAGTTTGCTGCTCTGCATTATTGACTGGTGGTTAATCATAGAAATGCAGAGTTGCAAGGGACCCCAAGGGTCATCTAGTCCCTTGGGTACTGTAACAGTGTGGTGGGAGTTCATACAATATACTCTGGGCATGTGCAGAGTTTGCTGCTCTCTCTAGACGCGCAGTCTACGGAGACAAAGCGAGAAATGTAAGACTAAATCTAAGTGAATCAATAAGAAAGGAGGATATGATGGTATGTAAATTAGACGGGCAGGTTGAGATGACAGGAGGGGCTGGGATGGATGCGGCTCTGTAGGAGAGAGGGGCAACCCGGGCAGCGGCTGAGAAACCCGCTGCGTCCGCCGGTTTCCACTTATTCTGCCCCGCGTGGGGAAGAAGGCGGGAGGCCTGTGGCAGGAGCTCCGCCCCGAGGGTTGTCTTCTGCTGCGCCGGGTGAGAGGATCCGTCGCTAAGCCGGACACACGCACGCTCTTCTCCGCCCAGAGGTTCGGGAGCGCACGCAGCTCGGGCTCGGCTGAATCTCCCACCAAGCGCCTCCTGCTCGCCGCTGCTCTTGGCTCCAGCCTCCCTCGCTTTGCGCGCCGAGCGGCTCCTCGCCGCCGCCGCCCCGCCTCTCGCCGCCCGACTCGCCCGCCTCCCTCCAGGCATCTCGCGGCACAGGCAGGGAAGCAGTGGCCAAAGAACCGCCCTGCAGGCTTGGTCTAACTAGAGAAAAGGGGCCTTGCGGGCTGAGGTGCAGGATCTCAGGGGAACTGAGCAGGGAATAACAGCCCCCCCCTTCTATCATAGAGAGGAGAGAGATAGAGAGGCCTCCCATGCAACCCCTGGGGAAATCCTCAGTGCCGGATCCCATCCGATCACCGGCAGGGGCTGCTCTGCCCCATAACTCTATGGGCCGGACTTTTCCAGGCCGGCGGGAAAAAGGAGCATCGGGAGGGGCTTGAGAAAGGGGGGGGGCGTCGCTGGACCAACTCCTCCCGCCCTGCTCTTTCTGTTGCAGGAAAAGACATCGGAAGAGCGAGCAAGGGAGGCGGAGGGGCAGAAGAGAGGACAAAGGGGTAAAGATGCAGGGATGGGGGGGGTGAAATGGGGAGGGGGAGGAAAGGACAAAGACCCCTCCATATCTCCCCACCTTCCCCAAAAGCGCCTTTACTGGGGCCCATCAGGAGGGTCTGGATCCATGCAATCCCGCTGCGAAGTGGGGACCCAAGACCTGCAGGACTTGCGTGGCTCCATCTCCTTTGGAGCCCCTCCCCCAAAAGAGATCACCCCCCCCATAAAAACACTATGGGAGATGCACAAGGGCGGGGGTGCAGGGGTCCTTTCTACAGAGGAAGCCCCTGCCGGGTTTCCATGGCGCCTCCTCCTTGGAAGCACCCGCCACGCGCATTTGGGGGCGAGGGGCGTGCGGAGCCAAGGGGGGTTTCTGGGCGCAGGGGCGTCTCAGGGACGGAGGGAGGAGGGCACGGGAAGATTGGAGGCTGAGGAATCAATGGAGCATCCTTGGCGGGGGAGGGGGGAACCCTGGGGGGGGGAGGGAGAGGGAGAGACCCGTGGCCTTTTGGAAGAGATGTCTCCATCTTGGGCGCTGGCGGGGGAATTTCCAGAGGGGCTGCCTTGGATTTTCCCTTCCTGGCAAGAAATCTGCCTTGGAGAGAGGGACAGGGAGGGATCCTTGAAAAAAGGGGGGGTCCCATTTCCCCACCCAGTTCTTTCCAGGATGCTTCTTTCCAGCCATTGGAGAGAAAAGGCAGGTAGATTCTGGGAGGAACCCCCTCCCTTAAGTTACCGGAAACTTCCCCCCTCGCTCAGGCTTCGAGTTTATTGCAGGAGGGGGGTCCCGTGTGGGTGGTCCTGGCCCACCTCTGTGCTGGCAGGAGGTCCAGATTTCAAGAGGGCAGACCTGGTGGGCAGAGCAACCCCCTGGCCAGGTCAGCTGCATGAGAGCTCCAGGGAGGGCAGAAGAGAAAAGGCAGGAACGCCATTTCGGAAAGGATCTTCCTTTCTTCTTCCCTTTCTCCTCCTTTGTCTCCTGTCTCCTCTTTCCTCTCTTCTCTTCCTGTGGCCTTTTCACTCTCTGAGGAGGGGGAGACCATCAGATTCAGAGAAACAAGGGTTGTCCTGGGGGTTGGGACTCCCCCACCCAAATGTCCAGAATCCTCCTGTCTCTCCTTCCCCTCCTTCTCCCTTCTCTTTCATTTCCACCCTTACCTGGGTTTTCTTCTCTTCTCTACCTGGACTACATTACAGGGACCTTGAGGAAGTTCTCCAGAGTAACTGTGGGACCACTGAGTTCCTTTATCCTAAGAAGTTGTCTTCCCTTTTCTTTCTGTTCTGTTGTTCTTGCTATACAGTTACCTTCTTAAGCAAAAATTGAGCTAGCAAGAGGGTCGTCTTGTCCATCTCGAAAGTTTTTATTCGTAATACAAAAATGAAATAAAATGGTTGTAATCCCCCCAAAAATTGCAAACCAGGACACGCACTTTCGGGTTTGAAGTGTTTGTAATCCAAAACATATGCAAACCAGACTGTTTGCAAACCAAGGTACCACTTGTTTTACAAGTAAGGTCTGTCAAATTCTAGATACAGGTAGGTAGCCGTGTTGGGCTGCCATAGTTGAAACAAAATTAAAAAATGCTTCCAGTAGCACACAAAAGCTCATACCAATAACAAACTGAGTTGGTTTCTAAGGAGCCACTGGAAGGAATTTTTTTATTGTTTGTCAACTTGTCAATCCTACAAACTGAAACAAGGTAAATTGGTGGGGTTATAGTTTATAGGAATCCTGGAATTTTGAGCTTTCTTGTCTACATCATCGGACTGGTGCCCCCAAAAACCAAAGCCCATCTTATCTTTATTAGCCTTTAATGGGCCACTAGATACTTTGTTAGCTCTGCTTCTAAAGATGAATATTTTTGAATACTTTTAACGATCACATAGGCCATCAATAACACTTCTGTTTTGTTTATTCCAGTTAGGACAGAGTCTGATACACCAGTCTGACATCAGCTGCATTGAAAAAGAAAATTGCGGAGACATGTCCTGGAGAAATTGAGAGGTCTGTACTTCCACTTTTCTGTGAGACTGTATCTTTGTGTGTTTCCTTTCAGCGTGAGGGAACATAGAAAGAGCCCTTCCAGATCTGTAGGATATTAAGGAATTGTGGTATTCTGCTCATAATTCACTGACTACCTGGGTCCAGTATCATTTCGCCAAACTGGCCTCTCCACAGAGTTCACACAAACAGCAGCATTCAGAGCGCAGGAAACCAAAGCACGAAGAAGAGCTATAAATCCACATGACATTCCAGACTTCAAGTGGAATGGCTTAGTACTGGCCAATTACATCTGAACGGTTGCAAATAAGCCCAGAGTCCATAAACAGGCACCAGAGCCCTTGTTTATCCAAACAAAGTCTACGTCTATAAGCAATCCATTCAACCATTGTGAGTGTTCTCAGATTGTCAATTCATCTGAAGGCAGCCCTATTTAGGGAAGGTTTTGATGTTTGATATTATTATTATTATTATTATTATTATTATTATTATTATTAAAGATTTTTAACATAAACTTTCCAAACAAAACATCCATCTTATCATCTCTTACACATCTTGGCTATTTTTAGCCAGTGACTTCCATCATTCCCTTCTAATGATTTCATCCTATCTCTCTTCTGTTTACAATTTGTCTCTTTACTACTGTTTATATAATCAAAATCTTAACATCCTATCTTTTAACTCTTATTAACAATATTTCTTATCTCTATTTTTCACAAGACTTCTTGGTATCCTACAAGCGTATTCAATTGAACACCATTGCCCTTCAAATAATTCACATATTTACTCCAGTCCTTCAGGAATTTTTGGTCCCGCTGTTCTCGGATTCTCCCGGTCATCTTAGCTAATTCTGTGTACTCCATCAATTGACTGAAACAAAAATAACATTTTTGGTAGCACATTCATTTTTATAACCGATATCCTTCCCCAAAGTGACAATTTCATCCTTCCCCACACTTCCAAATCTCTCTTAATCTTATTCCATACCTGGTTGTGGTTTTCTTGATAGAAATTTATATTTTGGGGGCGTGTCAGGGAACTGACATCGGAGCAGAGTGGAGAGGCTAGGCTCCCAGATTCTGCCGGAGAGGGAACTAGTAAGGGAAGAGAGAGAACGTCCTCTGGGGAAAGAAGTCCAGGTGACACCAGGAAGAAGGGAGAGGCAGAGAGCACTTCGGAGGGGAGGCTCCGAGACTCTTCCAGTGAAGTCAGTGAGGAGAGTGGAGGACCACTGCTTGGCACACCCACTCTGCGCAGAAGGCTTCCGCGCAGAGAGGCGAGGAGGAGGTTGTCCGTTAAGGAATTCTTATGCTGGAAGAAATTTAGGAGACGCCCACTGACGGGATTCTGCCAGTGACTGGAGCAGACGCGCAAAAGGGCTGCTCAGCCAGGGAAAGATGTACTAACCCTAAGCAGTTTGGTACAGCTGGAGGTTTACACACAAGCAACCCCAAGTCCCATGATAGGGGGTTAACAATATTCTTAGGTATTTCACTTTCTGTACCACCCCTGTTTCTTTTTATTATTGCAACTGATCCACTATCTTTTTGTCCATATTTTTAACAAACTTTTTATTTTTATTTACTTTAAAGCCTGCTACTTGTCTAAACTGTTCACTTTTTTCTAGTACTTCCTTAGGAGTTGTTATTGATTCAATTGTTATTACTAAGTCATCCATAAAGGCTTTTACTTTATATTCTTTCCTTCTGACTGATATTCCTTTAATTCCTTCTGCTAACCTTATAGTATTCAGGAGAACTTCCAGAACCGATATGAATAACAATGGTGATAGTGGACACCCTTGTCTTGTCCCTTTTGTAATTTCAATATTTTCTGTTAATACATTATTTTCAATAATTTTTGCCTTTTGACTTGAAATATTGCTTTTAAACTTCTCATAAACAATTGACCCATTTCCATCCTTTCTAAGTTTTTAATCTTAAATTCCCTAGAATTTAAGGCCTTCTCAGCATCCACAAATATTATGGCTGCCTGCTTTTCATTCCTGGCCGTCAAGTATTCAATAATATTCACAATATTCCTTATATTGTCCTTCATCTGGCGGCCAGGAAGAAAACCTTAATATTTGCAAATAGTTTATAATCACTGTTCAACAAAGAAATCGGCCTGTAGTTTTTAACCTGTCATAAGTCTGAGTCTGGTTTGGGTATCAGTGTAATATATGCTTCTTTCCAAGTCTCTGGTGTTTCTCCTTTTTTCAAAATATTGTTCATTACTTCCTCCAATGGTGCCAGTAGGGTCTAGCTGAAATTTTTATCACCATCTTTTATTTATTTATTTATTTATTTATTTATTTATAACTTATTTACCCCACCCATCTGGCTGGGCTTCCTCAGGCACTCTGGGCGGCTTCCAACAAAATATTTAAATACGGTAATGCATCAAACATTAAAAGCTTCCCCAAACAGGGCTGCCTTCAGATGTCTTCTAAAAGTCTGGTAGTTGTTTTTCTCTTTGACATCTGAAGGGAGGGTGTTTGTCAGGATGGGTGCCACTACCGAGAAGGGCCTCTGCCTGGTTCCCTGTAACTTGGCTTCTCGCAGTGAGGCAACCGCCAAAAGGCCCTTGGTGCTGGGACTCAGTGTCTGGCTAGAACGATGGGGGTGGAGATGCTCCTTCAGATATACTGGACTGAGGCTGTTTAGGGCTATAAAGGTTGCTTTGAATTGTGCTCGGAAACGTACTGGGAGCTAATGTAGGTCTTTCAAGACCAATGTTATGTGGTCTTGATGGCCACTCCTAGTCACCAGTCCAGCTGCCGCATTCTGGATTAGTTGTAGTTTCTGGGTCACCTTCAAAGGTAGCCCCACATAGAGCGCATTGCAGTACTCCAAGCGAGAGATAACCAGAGCATGCACCACTCTGGCGAAGCAGTCCGAGGGGAAGATAGGGTCTCAGCCTGCATACCAGATGGAGCTGGTAAACAGCAGAAATAGTACCTGGGGTTAAGAACTTTGCTTCAGGATAAGAACAGAAATCTCGCAGCAGCAGCGGGAGGCCCCATTAGCTAAAGTGGCATCTCAGGTTAAGAACAGTGTCAGGTTAAGAACGGACCTCAAGAACAAATTAAGTTCTTAACCCGAGGTACCACTGTATATTGTTTCTCCAATGGGTGTTTTAATCTCCACACATCAATCAAATTGCAGCTTTCTACCATAGAGAAGAAAGTTTTGGGTAGTTTACCTTCTTTCTATTCTATTCCCATTTCTCATTCTATCAATTTCCAATGAAATTACCCCATTCAGGTCCCCCATAATTATTTTTTGATCCACAAAGATTTGTCTCGCTTCATATTTATTTTTTATATACAACACCACCCCTCTTTTTACTCCTGTCTGATGAAATAAATTCACTTCCTAATTTCTTTTTTACCAAAATTCTTCTCTCAAAAACAAATAATATCTAAGTTCTTTTTAATAGAATCTTTTCAACTTTATTTCTTTTAGTTTTGTTATTCAAACCATTAACACTCCATGTCATAAGTGTTCATGCCGTTTTGTTTTTGCTACTCTTTGTGAACTAGAGTCTTTTAAACTTATCCTTCCTCCTCCTCCTCCTCCTCTTCTTCTAATTTATTATCTTCTACTTCTACTTCTTATTCTTGGTCTATGGTATCTGTTCCTGCTGCTGCTGCTGCCCCTTCTTCCTCTTTATCCAGTTCCCTGTACCTCTGGAGGAATTTTTTTACTTCATCTTTTTCAGTTTAACTTTTCCTTGTAGTAGAATGAGACTCCTTCCAGATACTCCCATTTAAAATCAATATTGTTTTTTCTCAGCACTTGTGTCAGAGGTTTATATCCATCACGTCATTTCAGCTGACAAAGTGGAATTTCCTTAAATATGATTATCATTGCTCTATCAATATAGAGCTTCTTTTCTCTTATTTTTTTAGCAAAATTAAATTTCTCATCTACTTATCTTTAAATATCATCAAACAATCTCCTGGAAACTTTTTTCCTTTTTTTGATTTAACTTTTATCCTAAACGCATTCAATACTGTATTGGCAAATTCATCTTTTCCAATTCCTAGCCATTGTGCAATTTCAATAATTAATTCTTCTAAAATATTCTGTCCTGCTGTTTCTGGGAGAGATCTGATTCTCAAATTTATCTCTCTTTGCTTCAATTCCTGCACCACAATTGCATCCCACAATTCCTTCTGTTCCTTATTCAGCTCTGAAACTGCACTTTTATTTTTCTCATCCTCCTTTTTTAAATTCCTTACTTTTCGTTGCATAGGTTTCAATCTTTCCTCTAAATTTTGTGTTCTCTTGCTCACATCTTTTATCTGGGCTTTCATCTCATTCACAGTTAAATCTAATTTTTTGTCCCTCTGCTCCCATCTACTTTCCATATTTTTCTCACTTTGTTTAATATCTTTAATATCTTTCTTCAGTTCTGCAAACATTTTTGCAACATCTCCTTTCCCTTCCATTTCTTGCTTTGACCCTCTCCGGGTCTCTCCTGATGCTGCCCCTCCCCTCCTTTTTTCTGTGATGATGTCATTCTTAAACTGTTCTTTCCTCTTTCACCACTAGGTGGCCCTTTTGCCTCCAACCAGTTCTATATCAAATGTATATAGCTGAGAGGGGGACAAAGGGTAAATGCTGCAATAATCCAATAATTATTTGTACAAAAACAAAGAGAAAGCAGGAGAAAAATGTCTTCCACCACTTCCACAGATTTTTTGCACTTTCCACTGTGTCCCCGCCCCAAGAAAAAGAAGAAATCAAAACCAAGTACCAACAAAACAAAACAAATTCTTCCGCCTCTTGGTGGCTTAATCCAACTTCCACTGCATTATATTCCAGGACAAAGGAAAAGAGGAAGGTATTCACTACAATTATGTCTTAACAATGAAAAAGGTGAAGTTAAAAGAGAGAGAGAAAATAAATCCATCATGCTCATTAACCAAAAGGGGGAGGGTGTCCCCAAGTCTCTTCCTGTAAATATCTCCTCAAATTTCTTACAGTACCAGACTTTAGCAGTCTTTTTATATTTGTCTCTGCTGGTCTGGTATTTTAATTCGCAAAAATAGCTCTATAAACATATTTTTTACACATTGCGCAGTTTGAATTAAAATTGAAAGTAAAAGCCGGAAGCTCCTTCTCCAGCGGGCTCCTTCAACTCCCAAAGGGTTTCAAATAAGTTTATTTTCTAGGGATTTCCACCTCCCTTTCAGTAAACCAAACCTTCAGAACTAAAAAAGTATATTTATTATTTTTATTCGCTGTAGGAGATTAGAATCTTACTCCGTTTTGCAGGTAATTCATGCAGTGTAAATCAATCACAGTCAGGGCTGGCCTCCTTTTTTATCCCTTCTATCTTCCAAATCTTTCTCAATTAGAATTTCCCAACATTTTGCCAGATTCAGGTTTCTTTTTGTTCAAAAATCAGCCACTGTGCTGGATAGACTCAAGGCTTCAATCCTCCAAGTAGTTGATGGCGTCCCGCGCTGGCGTCTTGATCTCACTGCACTTTCTGCTCTCCAAGGGGAGCATTTTCGGCGCCAGAGAGACATCCTTATGGTGCTGGTGGCCTCAAAATAATCCTTTTGAGGGTTTGGGGGGCTGTGGCGCCCTTGCAGACTCTCCCTTTGTTTCGCAAAGAGCTGAACACTCCCCTAAGGGCTGAGTCCCATCTCTTCTCAGCTCTGTGGACCAACTGGAAGTCGATGTTTGATGTTTTAGCGTTTCTTTAATATTCTGTTGGAAAACCCAGCCTTATGGATGGGGTTTGAATGATGATATATTATATTAATTAATTAAGGTGAAACATATCTTTATTCCTCTAATTTATCAGTATCAGTCTTTTGGCCACATTTAGGAAATGCATAATCCACTTTTGTAATCCAATTGACAGCTTACATGCAATTGGTATATTATTCCAAAGGATATTTTCCTCTGAAAGTCTTCCCATTAGAATTCAGCTTTTTCAGTGTCACACATATTTGCTTAACCACCCACCCCAAAGGAGAAAGAAAAGAGAGAGAGTCCTGGACAGATAATTTCCACAAGGATAGTTCTATATCACAAGACGGGCATGAGATCAGGTGGTCCATTCCCTGGCCATACTTCCTCAGGGAGACATAGAGAAGTGAGGAGAGAATCTAGGAGATGCTTTTAAATAAAAAAGACGGTGGTGTTAATTAGGCTCACTTTGTGTTAAGTTCCTTTTCCCTCTTCCGTGAAACCCTAAAATGGTTTTCTTTCCCCCAAAGGAGAAGGCGATCCAAATTCTGAGGAGACACCTTCAATTTCATTGAGAATAATGAAGACAAAGTTAAAATGTGCATAATGTTCTTCTGTCTGTGTGCACACTGAGTTTACAATACTGAACTCAACAGAAGAGAAACCATCTAAAGCTATGCAGTGCAAAAAGAGCTTGAACTGGAGTAAAACTCATAGGAAACATCAACAAATGCCCAAGGGAGAGAAACCAATTAAATGTATAGAGTGTGGAAAGAGCTTCAGTCAGTGTGGAGCACTTAGAATCCATCAAAGAATTCACACAAAGGAAAAACCATTTAAATGTATTGAGTGTGGAAAGAGCTTCAGACAAAGTGGGGACCTTAGAACACATCAGCGAATTCACACGGGAGAGAAACCATTTAAATGTATGGAATGTAGAAAGAGCTTTCGTCGTAGGGACGCCCTTACAATACATCAGCGAACTCACACCGGAGAGAAACCATTTAAATGTGTTGAGTGTGGAAAGAGCTTCAGTCAAAGTGGACAGCTTAGAACACATCAGCAAATTCACACGGGAGAGAAACCATTTAAATGTATGGAATGTAGAAAGAGCTTTTGTTGTAGGGACGCCCTTACAATACATCAGCGAACTCACACCGGAGAGAAACCATTTAAATGTGTTGAGTGTGGAAAGAGCTTCAGTCAAAGTGGACAGCTTAGAACACACCAGCGAATTCATACGGGAGAGAAACCATTTAAATGCATGGAATGTGGAAACAGCTTTGGTCGTAGGGACGCCCTTACAACACATCAGCAAACTCACACAGGGATGAAACCATTTAAATGTATGGAATGTGGAAAGAACTTCAGTCAAAGTGGAAACCTTAGTACACATCAGAAAACTCACATGGGGGAGAAACCATTTAAATGTATGGAATGTGGGAAGAGCTTCAGTCAAAGTGGACACCTTAGTAAACATCAGAAAACACACACAGGGGAGAAACCATTTAAATGTATGGAATGTGGGAAGAGCTTCAGTCAAAGTGCATACCTCAGAACACATCAGAAAACTCACACAGGGGAGAAACCATTTAAATGTATGGAGTGTGGAAAGAGCTTCAGTCAAAGTGTACTCCTTAGAGTGCACCAAAGAACTCACACAGGGGAGAGCCCATATAACTGCAAAGAGTGTGGAAAGAGCTTCAGTCAAATTGGAAATTATAAAAGCCACCAAAGAACACACACAGGGGAGAAACCATTTAAATGTATGGAGTGTGGAAAGAGTTTTCGTCATAGTGTAACCTTTAGAACACATCAGCGAACTCACACAGGGGAGAAACCATATAAATGTATGGAGTGTGGAAAGAGCTTCACTTCAACCAAAAACCTTAGACAGCACCAAAGAACTCACACAGGGGAGAACCCATATAATTGTATAGACTGTGGAAAGAGCTTCAGTCAAAGTGGAAATTATAAAAGCCACCAAAGAACTCACACAGGGGAGAAACCATTTAAATGTATGGAGTGTGGAAAGAGCTTCTGTAATGGTGGAACCCTTAGAAGGCATCTACAGACTCACACAAAAGAGAAACCATTTAAATGTATGGAATGTGGGAAAAGCTTCAGTCAAAGTGGAAACCTTAAGAAACACCAGCGAACTCACACCAGAGAATAACCATTTAAATGTAAGGAGTGTGGAAAGAGCCTCGGTCAAAGCGGACATTTTAAAGACACCAGAGAACATTCACAGCAGGGGGGGAAGCATTTAAATGTGAGGATTGTGTGTGCAAGAACTTTACTGATAGTGAGAAATCATTTACCGTATTTTTCGCTCTATAACACGCACCTGACCATAACACACACATCGTTTTTAGAGGAGGTAAACAAGGGAAAAAACATTCTGAATGAAACAGTGGATGTATCATTTTTGTGCTTCATGCTGTGGCCACAGACATGTGATCTGATGGTGAATTTGGGCTGACCCAATGCAAAGATCCTGAGGATCCATGTGGATCCATGCTTTGTAACCACGTTTTTGCACCTTTGCAGCCCCAGACAACAGTGGGTGCGTGATTTGGGGGGGGCAGGCTGTAGCCATGGACATGCTATGTTCTCTGGTGGTGAATTTGGGGGTGACCCAATGCAAAGATCCTGAGGATCCATGTGGATCCATGCTTTTTAACCACATTTTTGCACCATTGCAGCCCCAGACAACAGTGGGTGCGTGATTTGGGGGGGGCAGGCTGTAGCCATGGACATGCTATGTTCTCTGGTGGTGAATTTGGGGGTGACCCAATGCAAAGATCCTGAGGATCCATGTGGATCCATGCTTTTTAACCACATTTTTGCACCATTGCAGCCCCAGGCAACAGTGGGTGCATAATTTTTGGGGGGCAGGCTGTAGCCATGGACATGCTATGTGCTCTGATGGTGAATTTGGGGTGACCCAGTGCAAAAATCCTGAGGATCCATGTGGATCCATGCTTTTTAACCACATTTTAAGTGGGGAGGGAAGGAAAAACACAGAAGGGACAAGGAGCACGAGAGGGGTGTGCAGAGAAGCAGCTGGCTAAGAATGCAGGAGTGGGATATAACGGGAGGGAGGAAAGGAAGGCAAAAGTTCCACCCCACCCAAGCCAGCCAGCTCTCTCTCTCTCCCCCCCCCCCACCTGCATGTTTTCAGCGGCACCGGAGCACAGAGAGGAAGGAACGACACTCTGCTTTCCCCTCTGCTTGCCTGGAGGGGAGGGGCTTTCCCTGCTCTTTGTTCTGTTTGAGCAAACACAGCATTGAAACAGAAAAGGGTGGGCAGTAAGACCCTGAGGCAGAATGCAGGAAAGCAGCAGCTTCCTCTTTTCAGTTTTCCCTTATCCGTGACTGCGCGATTTGATTTTTGCCTGATTTTTCGGCTCCAGGGACCACACATTCGCTCAATAACATGCACAGACATTTCCCCTTCCTTTTTAGGAGAAAAAAATCTGCGTGTTATAGAGAGAAAAATACGGTAAATATATGGAATCTGGAAAGAGCTTCAGTCAGTGTGGAAGGAGCTTCAGTTGGAGTGCAGATCTTAATATACATCAGCCGTTAGATGCGTAGAGTACATGCGAAGTTCTGGTGTCTGCATGTAAATTTGTACCCATGTATTCAAGTAATGAAGGTGATGTCTCACAATAGTAAATGCAATATCATATGTCATGAACTGTTTGCAGAGAGCGTGAACCTGCAATGCTGGTGGTCAATGTTGATGCTCTTTGAGTTGGCTGAAGTTCAGTCTTTGGTAGAGGGAGTTGGAAATGTTGGTGTTTTGGGATTGCTAATAGAGCATTGTGGAAATTACAGGGTCAAAGTTGTGATGCTTTGGAAGCAGGGTTCGTTATATTAGTAGTATACGAACAACCGTATAACACCTATTGTTGTAATTATACTAAATGAACAATGAAGACACAGAAAGAGTGAGGCCATCTTCTTATGTGTATAAAACCCTTCTGTAGTTTTTATAATTGATACACTAATTGTGTTACAACCCTTCCTCTTCCTTGGTTCTCTGATGGGCACAATGTTCAGATAAAACATTATTTCCAGTGGCAGGAGGAATAGAGGAATGACGAAAGCACGGTTCCTGGAGTGTCCAGAGGGGGTGTGAAAGAGACCCCCTCCCCCGCTCCTCTAGATGAATAAAAGCAACCTGGGGGAAGAGAAGGTGGCGGAGAGAGAGAAACATGGCCTTGGGTGGGTGATTCTGTTTTGGGTGCTGTCAATAACTTCTCCAGAGGGGCTCTGGGGCATCCTTTGCTACTCTCTCCTTCCCAAGGGTCTGTGGCTCCTCCAAGTCCTCCTAGAGAAGGATCCATTAATACGGCTTGGATGGAAACAGTGTTCTAGATCAGCTGCAGCCTTGTTTCTCTTGGGGGGGCTGGATCTTCCTTCTGTATCTGCCCCCTCGTTTTCCAACCTCTCAGGTCGAGACTGAACTGGCGTTTATGTTGTAAAATTAGTTAACCCATTTAGCATATGATAGAATTCATATAACTAACAGTGAATGAAACATATGTACCTTTGTTATACCTTCATCTTACTTTCTCTGATGGAAGCTATGTCTCAGTGCTCTGATAATTTCTAGGCTACGTGGACTTCTCAACCTCGACTTCCACCCGCTTATCTTTCAAACTATTGTTTAAAATGTTTAGAAATAGGAAATTTATGTGACCGACTCTTCTTCCCTTGAGTCTTCTACCCAGGCGTTGGGAGCCCATTGGAGTGGTAAGCTAAGGACTTTATAAAGGTCTGGTTGTCAGGGAGATGGACAATAAATGAGTGAAATGTAAATTCTAAGACAGCAAGACACCAGGATACCCAAAATAATGGGCAGAAGAACCATTTTAGCTCCCTGACTGACCTTCCCTTACATGTATAACTTCTATGAGCTAATGCCTGTACCATTCTCCAAAAAAACCCTCTCAAAGTTGTACTAAAATGAACCTCTGGTTTTGAGTCGTTTGAGGTATTGCAATAGCATTTATCTCAATAAACTGGGTCCCTTCTGGACGTTGAATTTTTCCTCTCTCTTGGCTGTGTTTTTCTTTGAGGTGTTATTCCTTCCCCTGGCCATGAACCACTGAGCGGTGGTTTGGAAGGAAATTCTTACCCCGTATCTTAAAGCCTGGAATAAACTATTTCAAAAGGAATAAGGGAGTGTCAGATTTCCCTCACTCTCTTTCCATCCTAGGAAAGGCCTTGTCTGAAGTGGTTCCTGCTTCCTGGAATCCCCTTTCACAAGGAGCCCAAAACTCTTCCTCTCACAGGCAAACTCCTGCTTTCCCCACCTCTACTCTTAGAACTGCCCTATCGTGAAACCCGAGGTGATGTAGATACATGGAGATTCCAGATTCCTGAAGTTTTCCTTACAAAGAATTGACCTTTTGTAGGTCTGGAGGTTGTGATCAGGGACAGAAATTTCCTACTGCTGACCTGTACTGGTTGTTGTCAGGCAGAAGTGTGGACGGACGGACGGACGGCAGAGACGGACCGGAGTCTGGTCATTCAGTCCCCCTGAAATTCCACCAGAGGGATGGAACCTCTCTCTGATTGGACAACAGCACTTTTGGAGGGAAAATAAAAGTAGCTGTTACTGAGGGAGAGAGTTTGATATGAGAGAACATGAAGAGGGATTGTTTTGAGGTGGGAGTTAGGGAGGAGGATAGGATTTGCCTGAGGGGGAACTGGTTCTAGTTGAGTTGAACACCCTCCCTGAGAGAGGAAAGACTCTCCCAGCCTGGAGAGGGAGACCCAGTTGGGGGTCTGGGGAAGGTTTACAAACAGGGGTGTCCTGGGATGGCTGACTCTTGAGGCAGGAGAAGCAGATCCTTGGGGATTCAGGCTTCCCTGGGTCTTTCCAGTCCGGAAGGGACAGTTCTTCTAGGGAGAAAGGACCCCCAAGCCAGTCACAAGGGGGGAGGGGATCCCCTGGGTCTGTCATGCCATTTTGGAATTACCTCAGGAGTGGAGTTGCTTAGTGAGGGAAAGTGCCCCTCGCTCATGAACCAGGGCATTGATGGCGGAAGGAAGATGTGTTGTATTATTTAACTGAACCACCTGTCCTAACTAAGTAACAGAAACTGACATATAACAACTTTTTTTATTTAAGTGAAGAGAGTTTAAGAGAAGCTGTGACTGTAATCCTGTGTTTAAGACTGAAACATCTTATAGTTTAAGTAAATAAGTTGACTTCTACCCGGGAGAACACATTTCCTGACCCACATTCTTTCAAAAGCTTCTTTTTATTAATAAAACTCTGTTTTTTGTTCAATATTCACTCACTACAAGATAAAAAAGGTAAAGGTACCCCTGCCCGTATGGGCCAGTCTTGCCAGACTCTGGGGTTGTGCGCCCATCTCCCTCAAGAGGCCGGGTGCCAGCGCTGTCCGCAGACACTTCCGGGTCACGTGGCCAGCGTAACGAAGCTGCTAAATTGTATAGATTTTTGTAGTTTGCATACAGTGAGATGTGTACACTTTATTTAATAGGGGCATAGCCGCAGTTTTGAAAATCCTCCATACAATTCCAGTTTCAGTTGCCTCAAATGAAAGGAGCTTTAGCAAACTAAAACTGGTATCTCTGTGGTGGGATTTAATCCAGTAGAATCTGGTCAGGTGTCTGGGTGGCTGTGAGACCTGCAAGGCCCCTGGGGAGAGAGGGTGTTTGCTAGACCAGATGCTGTAGCCTTTTTCCCCTTGGGGGAGCTGCCCCCACATCTTGCAACCTCCGAAGTCGGGACTGAAGAGGTTTATCTCTTATAAAATTAGTTAACCCATTTAGCATACGAGACAATTTATTCAATGCTAAATTTTACAAATTTATGTATTTTTGTAATACCTGAATATACCCTATGTAGTAGTAGTAGTAGTAGTAGTAATAACAACAACAATACCCTGCTCATCTGGCTGGGTCTCCCCAGCCACTCTGGGCAGCTTACAGCATATATAAAAACACGGGGGGGGGGGAAATCTAACATTAAAAGCTTCCCTGAACAGGGCTGCCTTCACATGTTTTCTAAAAGTTAAGTAGTTGTTTATTTCCTTGGGAGGGCATTCCACAGGGATGGCCTTCCCTGGTTCCCTGTAACATCACTTCTTGCAGTGAGGGAACCGCCAGAAGGCCCTCGGAGGAGAACTTCCATGTCCAGGCTGGATGATGGGGGTGGAGATGCTCCTTTCAGGTCTACAGGGCTGAGGCTGTTTCGGGCTTTAAAGGTCAGCACCAACACTTTGCATTGTGCTCGATAACGTACAGGGAGCCAATGTACTTCTTTTAGGACCAGTGTTATGTGGTCCCAGCAGCCGCTCCCAATCACTAGTCTAGCTGCTGCATTCTGGATTAGTTGTAGTTTCCATGTCACCTTTAAAGG